GAGGGCCTTCAAACACACAGGAACAAATTAAGCACATGTCATCCAAAAGTTATCTTGTGCCAAGACTAGCTCATATTATTTCAAGTTAATCCTATGCTCAGAGTGGAACTAATATCTTTTTTAAAAGTAATTTCATAACTCTGCAACACCCATCCTTCTCTGCTAAAGCAATACATAGTAAGGGCAGTAAAAAGCAAAAGGGCTTTATGGAACAGGTTAGAGGTATAATCACAGCCTAAAGTCTTTAGCACTGAAAATACCTCTCCAGATTGCCTTCGCATTACTCATTGCAATATCACTGAGAGACAGCTATAAAATGCCAGTTTATAAGATATGAGAAACAGGGCTTTGCAAAATATCTGCAAGAAATGGCACTCACCTGCATCTTGCTAAAAATGTGGCATTTAATCTAAAACAGCCTTTCAAACTTGTTTTACAATGGGGTGAAAATACTCCTTGAAACACCTGGCTCCAGAGGGAGTTTTCAAAAAGAGTAGCACTTACCATGTCTACAAGTTAGCAGCAGGTCTGTATCAAAAATTGAAATATTTGAAGGCAAAATTAAAAGCAGATGTTTTATCTAGAAAGTTTATGTTAGCGCACTAAACTGTACTGTGGAGTGTTTATGACATCCTCCCCAGTCTTTCAGGCATTTTCTCAGTGTTCAAGAAAATACATGCACCAAAATGCAAGAGAGACATGAAGCAAAGGATACCTATCCTGCCCCTTGAGAAACACAGAAAAAAACACCAAAGCGTATTACAGCTCACAATACATGTTTATTATTAGAGATGTTTACAGAAAAGTCTGAATTACTGCTAGCCTAAGACTGACAATTGGGGGGGGAATATGGTTTATGGCTTTGTTTTTTGAATAATTTAAAAGACGCAAAACTGATTAAGTTTGGGGGCTATTTCAGTCTTATTAAAAAAAGTTCAATTCACAGATAAAGGAGAAGGTGCTTTCGCTAGTAATTTAGTAACTACGACCAAATAGGGTGTAAAACTTGGCAGGGTTTTTGCCGCAGACACATCTTGTCCCACCTTGTAGTTCACAGAGAGGCTGAAAAGGTATGCAGAGACTTTTAGCTCCCATGGAGGGGGCACCAGGCTCAAGATCTTGATCCCTGAAAAAGAAAAAAAAAGCATATTAATAAGTAAATATGTTTATTTAAAAATAAAGGTGCAATAAATTGTATTATATGTAAAAATCTCAAAAGCACACAAATTAGTCTGAAAGTTTCAGAACTAAGGGAGTAAGTATATTGAATTATGTGGGACAGTAAGAGTCAAGGGTGAGGATTGTACATCAGCATTACTCGCGAAAACATCTTACGCTCCTGTTTTATATGCAACATTTTGGTTTTGATCTTGGTAGACAGTATACAGTTCAGTTATATTTTACCTGGCAGTGGTCTTCTTGATCCAATCCTCGCATTCAATTTCCCCACAAAACGGGATTTGTACAATCTGAAGGGGGGAGGTGGGGAGAGTGAAAAAACAAAACAAAACAAAACAGTTATACATCTAAAAAAGTAATTCTTGTCTCTGGAAGATTCCTAAACCTTAAGATCTCATATAGACTCAAAGTGGAAAAAGTTCCAATTGCTATAATTAAATTTTTATAGCTCTTTCTCGTCACAAAAGTAGATAAGCACAGGCATCCCTCCATAGTGCAGCATGGAAAAACCTACACAAACCCAAGGCAGCATTTCAATCAAGTCAGGGTGCTGATTTTATTTTGTAACCCAATACATCTTCCTTCTGTGGGAAGTATAAATACTTTTTCTCTGTTTTTCAGGAAAAGTTTACATCTTTCAAACTGCAGAACAAATGGCTGCTTACATACTGCAAGACAGTGCTTTCCTAATGAAGTTTTCATTTTAATTCCATTACTATGAATTTTCATATTTTCTGAACACGACAAGGACATACATATTTCCAAAAAAAAGAATCACCAAGAGTACATTTTTCTTGGGGGCAGTGACGTGTATTTTCCTCCTGTTTCCTTTAGTTAGCTTAACTGAAAAAAATCGAGGAAGTAAATCTGAAATGATAATCTCATACTCTCTTCTCAGTACTACTTTTAGCTGTTGTTGCAAATCTCTTTTCCCATCTTTTATATCCCATTTTACTGACTTCTTTCATTTTTTATGGACTATCACAGTGAAAATTCTGTTTCTACTAAAAAGCAGGATTACTGTTAAAAAGACACCCCCTACATACACTTGAACACTCATGTAATGCTAATAGCTGATGGCAACAACAGCTACTAAATTCAGCCTTCACAGTCATTTTAATTCTACCCAAACTGTGAAGAAGGTTTGCTTTCACCAAATTTACATTCTCAAGTTGCCTTGAACTGGAACACACCTTTATTAGACTTCACTTTATAGCTTCACTTTCTTGCAACTGAGAACAGGAACTAGTACCGCTCTACTATACTGTTCTTGCATTGATCTTTTGTTAGTTAAATGAAACTTTGTTTAAATACCTGTGCAATTTATTCTCAGAATTTCAATTAAACTTTGCAGGCAACTGAAAAGGTCACAGCAGCAGCCTGCATTTTTAAGGAGCTAATAGTCTACACTGCAATTATAGTAAGGGGAAAACAGCAACAGCAAATTTTCTTCTTAAACAACAGTCAGTGCTAACAGTGTAACTTCAAGAAATTACAGAATGCATATGCTATAAAAGTTTATCCATACAACATATATAGGTAGAGAGTGAAAGTCATAAAATTACATGCGTCATTTTTTTCAATTCAGATATGTTGATTATAATAAACTTATATAACCTAAGTACCAAAGCGGTGCAGGTATCCAACTTGGAATGTAAAAATAATTGCTCACGTTTCCAATTTTAACTACATTCTAAACTAGATATATTAGAGTTCTAAACATAATCAAACAGTTCAATTCTCCTGGCCCTCTCTAGAATCTAGATGTACACGACCGTGCGTGTTGGACTTTGCCTGTGGAGAGGGTAAAATGCGTAGTATTCGGAGGGTATCATTTGGAACCTCTCTGGTAGGAGGAAAAAAAAGGGGGTTCTATAGTATTTCATCAAAACTAAAGGATGATAATTTATGTGCATGTACAAATACAGAATTAGCTTCATATTCCATTCTTGCTCTTGGAATGAGCTCGACTCTCCATTTTAGTTTATTTTTACAGAGAAGTTTATTGCATCTCAAGGTTTTCTAAGAGCTTGTGCCTTCCTCGACTGTTTCTGTCTTGAAGATAGACAAGCATAGTTTCAGAGTGCTTGTTTAATTCAGAAGTGAAAGATACGTGATGGCACATCTTGAAATCACAATACATGAGAGCAGTAGTACTAGGTGAACATCTATGCACTGCAGAGTTCTTTGTTAAGAAAAGACTAAATATTTTGTTTTTTAAAACTACCACCAGAATCCTCAGATACTTTAGAGACACTTGCACCAAGGAAATGATAATTTGTAGTCAGTAGGAAAGGCCCAAAGCTGTTTGGAAACAGTATTTCACATTTGTATTTAGTTTTGTAGAGGAAAATAAGGCAGTACTACTATATTAGCACCTACGCGCAGAATGTCTAAAAACTCTGTATCCTCAACTTCATAAGCATGTTAAATCAGTCCCTCCTCTAAAGTTCATAATTATTGCTTTAAATCTTGTTATAGATTGAATTTAAGTGCAGTAGAAATGCAAGACGAGAGTGTGATGGAAGGTCAAGCCTAACCGAGAATATCTTAACTATTTCTGAAGACAACAAAAGTACTATTAATTCCTGGCACTTGTGCATTTTCCATCAGAAAATCTGAAATTTTCAGAGTAGATCTAATTGGTACACAAAAATCCATTGATCTCTCTTTATAAAATACATAGCCTTAATGATTGATCCTAGCGATCCTACTGCTTGAACACATTAAATATATGAACAATTTCACAAACTGAGGTTTGTGTCAGAATTTCAGGGTTAAGAACTTCTGTCAGTGCATCTCTGAAAAAGAAGCAGCAGCACAATTCTGTACTGAAGACTTAATCTCTCATATAAACTTCAAATACTTTGCCAGAACTTTTTTCAGAGATCTCTAGGTCAGTAAAGCTCAATCATCCACACTGTGAGTTATTCTTACTATCAACACAAGGAGGTTTCTGACTTACAGCAATTTTCAATGAACCCAATGGCTTCTACTCAGGTCATAAAGGCAAAACTACTTTGACGTAAATAGAGTGTACTTTAAACCCTTACTTGAACCCTATTAAGGGATTTGACAAGTGTTTTTCACTGTTCGCATTAGAATAATGTCAGTAAGTTTATCTTAATCTGAGCATAATATTTACATTAACCTCTCTGAAAAGCACTTTCTGATAAAAATGTAATACTTCAAGTGCAAATTACCAAACCGCAGCATTGTTAAGTCACACCAAGATACTCTGTCACCTCTAACATAGGATTAAATTTTAAATGGTGGTAGCCTGAAACACCCACCGTATTTGGTAAACACAGCATTGTAGCAAAAGAGGAAAGCAATGTACATCACAGATTTTTGGAAATCTAATTAATTTTTGTGCAGCCCTATGGGAGAGGCTTCATCTGCTTGTGAGGGGAGAGTTCCATAAAGACCAGATCAGTATTTATACATAAGCTTTGAAATTTCTAGCCCCTGATTCTTTGTAAGGGACAGAAAGTGTGTAAAGGTACTTACAGGGACAGAGTTGAGTAAGTTTCCTTACCTTTCCTGAATCAAGCTCTTTTTGGAAGTCCTCCATAGTATTGGCCACCACCATATGACTTTTTAGGTCCTCATAAGCTCTAAGAAAAGGAAAAAATAAATTCAGTCAGGGAAGATTTATGCACATAACCTCACCGGCCAAATGAACTAAGTTTTCAGAGCCAGTCAAAACAGAAAGTTACATGGAAAGAAGCTATTTATTCATTCAAATCTTCCTAATCAGGTTATGTCTTCCTACCACTTCTGCCCTCAAAGAGATAAAATTTTTATTAATTGCCAGTGGCCTGTTCTCCAGGCCGCTGCACATTTCACCATGTTAATTCACAGTTGTGCATGTCAGTTCAACACTAACCAGCTACAGATAGAAACAAATACTATTGATGTAAATATTTTTTTGAATTATTTTCTAAATCTAAACAGGAAAATGCTTTTTAACTAGGTAAAAATATTCCACTTATAAGCAACTTAGATCACCACAGAAGAAAGCAGGAAAACTCATCTGCCATGGTACTGGATCAGCACATGTTCGTTCTTGGTGATGTTACAAACAATAATTTGCAATGACAGACACACAAAGGATTTGGCATGTGCAGTAAGTGCAAGTAACAGTTCCAAAATCATTAGATTGCTTATAAGAAAACAATACTATGAAAGACAGTAGGACACATGGTCTTAAAATACACTTCTGAACACAGAACTTCAACTACTGAAGTTTCTTGGACAACCTTGTACCTTTCAAAATTCCCTACCAAAAGCATATTTCAGGAACGAATCCTGTGCGTTATTATCCCATGAACTATTTATGGTGCATTTGCTTATTAATACTTTACATGAATTCACAGAAGTATTTTTTAAAATAAGTTCACAACCTTTAACATTCTGTTTCATGAGCACAATAGGAAACTTGTATCACTGTATGTGAACAAGTTTCAGAGGCAGAAAAATGAAATTTTACAAACAGATGACCCTAACCTGTCTTTCTGCATAGATGAACCAATAATGTGAGAAGTTCTTCTGACAGGTAAAGTGCATCTGTGATTGGCACAGCCATTTACAGTGCCTCTCCATTTACCTGTTGTAAAGGTTAGCATGGATCTCCTCCAAAATCTGCTTCAGTCTATCTTCTGCCTCATGTTCAGAAAAGGTCAGCTTCTGTCCTGTGTCTCTTCTAACAGCTACAAACTGTTGGCTCTTCATGTCTCGTGGTCCCACTTCAACCCTGACTGGAACACCCTTCATTAAAACAAGTTAGGAGTTATAACGAAGAGTCGAAGAGTTCATTTTCTCTCTTTTTTTTTTTTTTTCATTTGGTTATTCTAAAGACCAGTCTTAGTATGGAATCACTTTACAACATTTAAATTTCTTTGAAAATTATCTTCTCCTACTGCATTTATCTTTTCTTTGAAATATCTTCTCCTACTGCAAAGCTACATGAAAAGCTATTCAAAACTGTTAATAACAATTTAAACTGAACAAACACTCTAGTTTATGGTTTACAAAAAAGCTGTCTCCATAATTAAAAACTCACCGGAAAGTATCTAATATTTCTAATTGTAATACTACTTTCCAGTAAAAGAAGGATGACTCATGGGCATGTAGCACGACTTCCTAGGAAAGAGCAAGGGAACTAATAATATCAGACATTATAAAACAAATACCAATGACTTGGCTCTTTTTGGAGGTAACATCAGAAATCTGCTAAACTGAAAAGTACATAAAGCAAAATACTTTCCAGTTCCTTCTTGCACTTCTTAATTCAGTACGTTTGTATTTTTTACCCTATGAAATTCTACATCAGTAATCAATGAGTGCACTTTGTCTGCAACTAATTGAACTAATTTGTCTGCAACTAACTGAAGATGCAGTTTATGTGCTATAGTAGACATATTAGTAAATCTGATAAAAAACATCCCGTTTGCCCCATGCTCTGCCTCCTTGACAAACCTAATTTTACTTAAAAAGTCTCCCAACATGGCTTCATGGTATTAGAGCTCCATTTAAAAAAAAAAAAAAAAAAAAGAAAACTTGGATACAATGGGAACTTTCAACAACTCGGGAAGCTTCTATCATAGAATCATTTAGGTTTGAAAGGACCTCCAAGATCATCAAGTCCAACTGTTAACCTAACACTGCCAAGCCCACCACTAAACAATGTCTCTCTTTTAAATAACTCCAGGGATGGCGATGCAACCATCTCCCTGGCCAGCCCATTCCAGTGCCTGACAACTCTTTCACTCTTACATTGAAGATGAACATATTGAAACTAATCTCAAATTCAGAACAAAAATATGATGCCATAACATCACTCAACACATTATGCAATTTCTAATTTACATTGTTTCATTCTGTTCACTATTTTGTTTTACAGAAGCCTTATATATTTGATGAAGCAGAACTGCTCCTCTCAACTACTATATAAGGAGAACATAGTAATTTTGAAACAAAAAAAAAAATTGCTACTTTCTTTGTTGATGTTCCACTGTGTGCAAAGAAGGCACTGTTGTGACCCTGGAGATACTTAAGTATTAGCACAAATTTTTAAACATGCAAGTAATTTGTACTATCAATTTAATTTTCTAGGTACACAAAGTAGAGACTTGTAAGTTCAAAAATCGCTAGTGACATGCAAATCCTTGCAAACAGAGCAAGTCTCAGTAAACATCTTCATTTATTAAAGTGATCACCAATTACCAGGCAGCAATTCTTATTTTAGAGAAAATATCTGCCTTCACAATGCAAGGCATGCATGAAATGCCTCATATATACCCCACATATAAGCTTCAAAACACCTCCTGGAAAGAAATGTACCTTAAGTTCCCAGTGATTAAACTTCCAGCCAGGTGAATAGTTGTCTCTTAAATCAGCCCGTACACGGATATTAACACTAAGCAGTCTATTACGATATTCATTACATTTCTTCAATAAAGCCTCTTTGTCCTCTTCAGAAAGGGAATTTGTGATACCACAGGGAATAATTACAACCTGCAATATAACATGACACATACTTTATGTTACAAGAAAATTAGTTCCTAGTTAGTATAAAAACTTAAAAACAATATGGCACTACATCCCAGTAATTTTTTTCAAGTTCTCAGAAATAAAGGATACATTTCCCTTTTCATCCAAATGATGCAGATAAAATTATTTTAAATAGATGGACTATTAAAGGGACCTTCTTGTTCACCATAAGTACCCTAATGATTTCTATTAGCTTTATGCATCATGCTCTGTAAGCAGATGGCTCCAATCCTATGTTAAGTCTTCCAGGTGCCTGATACGAAACGCTCATATAGTCCAAGACAGGAAAGGAAACAACTAGTAGTTTATGGCATTTTTACACACCTGAACACAGGCTACTCGAGGTGGAAGCACCAATCCCATGTTATCTCCATGAATCATTGTCATCACACCAATAGTTCGAGTTGTAATGCCCCAGGAATTCTGATATGCAAACTGTTTTTCTCCTGGTTTCCTGGGATCTTCAAACACAATTTCAAACATCTTTGAGAAATTCTGCCCTAGGTGATGTGACGTTGCACCCTGAAATAGTTGCACACAGAAAATTCTACTCAATGGAAAGTTAAGGAAAGTTAAGTCTATCAAGCACTAATTTAAGGTTTTCATCCAACTGTATTTACTAAAAAAATATTCTTCTAATAGATAAAGTACCTGGATAGCTCTTCCACTGGCAGATATAAATGCCTCTACAGTTGTTGTATAATCACCTCCAGCAAATTTCTCCTTCTCTGTCTTCCTTCCTTTCACAACGGGTATTGCTAGGAGATCTTCATACACTTGAGCATACAGATTCAGTATCTGCATCACCTATGATGAACACACTGTCTTAAGAATTACTCAGTATTTTGCACTGGCTACATCATCAAATATTTTTATATGCCGGAATCTAAAATCTTAAAAATTTAACACTTTCTCGAGATTGTGATTAAAAAACAAGATTTCTTCAATTGCTTTAAACTTTGGCTGTTTTTTTCTATGAACCAAATAGCAACAACTATAAACCATGACACAAAACAAGAAGAGTCACTGCAGAAATGCCAGTCCAATGGTTATATTGACTTCAAGCTTCCACCTAGAAGCTTGAACATCTGCTAAGTAAATAAAGATATGCCATGATACTCAATGAAACATCTGTCTTTTGGGCAAAGGAAGTGTTAAAATTCCTAGCAGTTAACATAGGAACACATTATTTAGATTTTTAACGAAAACAGATTTTTAAGGAAAATAATTTTTAAGGAAAGCATTCTTTATATATCACACTCTTGAAACTCCCTGTACTGTTTGAAGAGACTAAAGCCTCAGACATGGGTTATATCTGAGAAAAAAAACAGATTCTGGTAAATTTGTCATTTTTCATGAGGGCTCTCAAAGACAAGGAGACAGATTTCTACCAGGTCCTAGTTAACTTTCTGAAAGCAAAAGCACTGGTGCATTTGCTTTTTACCTCCTCTGCTGCTTCTTCATATGTTGCAAATGCTGTGTGACCCTCTTGCCAAAGGAATTCACGAGTGCGAAGGAAAGGCTGGGGATGTTTGAACTCCCAACGCTGGTTCAGGGGGATAAAAAAATTGAACACCATGATTAACCCTAAAGTGTCAAGTTACTGTTAAAAATAATGTTTATAAATATTAATATGTTGTTGCTTACAAGTTAGAAAAATCTGAATAAAGAATTCTATTCACAGATTTCTACTTAAACAATGTAATCAGCAATATACATTGATAAAGTGTGTTTTATTAAAAACAGTGAGAAAAACAAATCACATAAACCACATTCATACGTTTGCCATGAAATATGTGCTGTGATCAGTACCACCATGCCATGTCCACATAGAATAATTGTCCTACACTGCACTTATACAACAGTTACTCTGAAATCGTGTACAAACATACCACAACATTGCACCACTGGTTCAGCTTGATAGGAAGATCCCTGTGTGACTGCACCCACTTTGCATAGGCAGGATACATGACTGTAAAAGGAAAGCAGCTTTCGGTCTCTGCACAGCACACCCACTTTATGCCAAACCTTTATTTTTGCTGCATATAAACTTAATATTCTCTCCTGTGAGAGCTACGCTTTTATGTTTAATTCTCCTTAAAACACATTATTTTGTCTTAACGCACACTATTTGCACTGAAAGGAGTACTTTCACTTCATCCTGTGTCTCTGCAAAATAGCTTGCTTGCTGCTGGTCAAAGTACAACCCAAAGCTTAATACCTAATGACACTGTTTGAGTTACTGGCTTAGAGTATGCAAATACATCTAGCTTCACAGATAAAAATTCACTGACCTCAAGATTTCAGGATGATATACCATACCCAATTCAATTAAAAACTCATCCAGCCTTAGGTCTTAAAATGTTTGTTTAAAGTACTAAGAAGAAATTTTGTAAAAACTAGTTTCACGGCTGTACATGCAAAACTGAGGTGAATTGTGAGATGAAATTTTCTTATAAACAATATAAAACAAACAACCAAACATGTTTTTCAGTCAAAGCAAGTCAGTCTTCAGGACATTACCTAGAAAAGTCCATTTAAGGAAACGTATGGTGTTGTGACATTTGCTATAATCAGCAGCAAATTTGGGAAATTTTGATAAGGAGCCATAGAAAGCATTCTAATAAAATGGATTTCTACTTTTCAAAAGGGACTCTTGTCAATCAACTACACTATACCTATAACAGTTTTCTTTACAGCCAAACTGCATAAAAAGAGGTCTACCTGTTTCACTTGTGGGGCGTACAGCAATTGGTTCAGCCAGATCTGTTTTCCCAGATCTTGTGACCCAAGCAACCTACAGGAAGGAAAAAAAAGGGGAAAAAAACACAATCAAACACAACAAGTTTGAAAAAAAAAGCAAAACCCCTTACTCTCCTAGTCAGCTGCAGACTAAGTGGTTGGGTTTTCTTGAACTCAGATTAAAATAACATTTTGAAGTGTACCTCAGGAGCAAAGTCAGCAATATGAGTCTTCTCTTTCTCTAGGGCAGCCTGGGACACAAACATGGGGAAGTAACAGTTTTCCACTCCAAGTTTCTTGATCTCTGCATCGAAGAAGTTCTTGATAGCTTCCCAAATAGCATAAGCCCAAGGACGAAGAACGTAACAGCCACTCACATCGTAGTATTCAATCATCTCTGATTTTGTGATCACCTTTCAGAAGATTATTCAGATACAGAAGCTTCAATTTCATACACAAAGAACATTCAGTAATTCAAGTGTGTGGCATGCAATTCAAGACAACTCTCTTATTTAAAAATCTTTGTGCTCAAAAAGTTAGCAAAGATACACTTTGAGATTGCTTTTGTTACCTTTAACTAAAGAAAGTTAAGCAGGAACATTAAGTTCAATAATAGATCTGGATAATATAAACATTTAAGTAAAACTGAATTTCATGAATCCAAGTAAGAGACAGTAGCTAACTTCCAGGAACCAAAAAACTGCACTTTTGTAAGAAATGTCTCTAGCTCACATCAGAAAAAGATTTTTTATTCCTTACGGTATATGCAAAAGTTATACTAGTGAGAGCCAATGCACACTACTGATATCTATTTATAATCTTTCATAAGTAGGCTAATCTAAACTAATCATCTCTACTCTGGTTGTTTTGAACCTCAAAAGCCAGCAAACTCATTCTGTATCAACGGGTACTAATTTTTGTTGTCCCTCATCCTGAGCTGAAATAAAACTCCCAAGCCTGGGAAATTTCTATCACTTCACTGAAGTTTTGCACTCTTAATCAAACAGGAATTCGTACATGAATTAAGAAAATCATATATATATATATATAGGTATGGGGAGAGGGGTGAAGTTGTTAACATTCATCCTTTTTACAGCTTCCTGAATTTATTCAGCTCTTCAATCAAGGCACTTCTATTTAAGACCACGATAGCAACACAAGACATAGAAAAGAGCAAGTACTTTGTTTTGTATTTAACAAAAAAACCTAGCAAACAGAAATACAAGATAAGATATACATCCAAAGCAGATCTTGATTTATAAGATAATGGAATAATAATTCTTTAACTCAAACAGATACGCACTTACCTGAGAGAACCAGTCTGCAAGATTTTCTTCTTTTTTAGCTTCTAGACCCAGCCTATGGTATTAGAAAAGAACCAGATTTGTGCTGTACAGCATTTAGCAGCAAAATCTATCCTTTCTTTTTTTCAGGAGGGAGAGGGGAAGGCAGAAAAAGGAGGACGTGGAACATAATACTTTAAATTTACTTAATATTATTAACTTGTCACAATTTTTTTCTCCAACAATTCAGTATATATTGGCTAGTAGGAATTGCTAGCATTTCCTTACCTTGGCTAACAAGAGTATTTCACAAGAACAGCTCCATTTCTTTTCTACTGTTTGAACCCTTCTAATTCTAACTATCAAAGAACCTCATCATGATGCATTAAAAAATGCAAGCGCCTCTAATAAGAACCTAAGATTAACCAGGCCTGTGTGGAAGTTGATTTACTCTTTATTTTAAACATTTCTCACCTAGCTGATGGCTACAATTTCAGGAAACATATGCAACTTTAATTCACCATTCATGCGAATGCCAGTCACACTGTTCAAGACAGACATCAAAACGAAGATAACTAGTAAAACGACAAGATTCTAAACTCACCAGACTCAACTGACAGTAGATAAAAATAAAGTTTCTGTATCTCTACAAACAGAGGAGTTTTAAGGGTGAAAAATGCATTTTTTCTGGCATAATTTCCATATAAAATAAGCACACCTCTGTCTCTAATGTGATTTATGTATCTGAAACAGGAAATAAATAGTACATGCTGTGGAAAGACTTCTAAACTTTCAGGGTGGGAGCAGGAGAGGGGATGCCCGTCAATCATCACTGGAGAGTTCCACCATCAACAACAGCAGTGCCTTGCTCTGGTTTGGGCTATATACTTTTAGTGGTACCTGCAGTAAATATTTTGGAAACTCACTAGTACAATGAAATAAGCACGAAGCTTTTTTTTTTCTCCACGGTTTATACTGAGGATGATACAGCAGCACATTTGCAGAAGCAAATAATGAAGCACAACAAGTTCTCAATGACAGTAACCACCCACAATAACAGAGTGCGCACACTGCTTTATGCTTTCTACTGGCTAGGTAGAATTTTTTCAGTAGGATGCTGAGGTACAATTGACACAAAATAAATTTTTGGTAACTTGCCTTTGGCTTGATCCCAAATATGAAAATGAACACACTTATTTTGCAAATGTCCACACTTTCAAGTGAAATGAGAAACCTGTAAAAATCTAAACCCGAACAGAGGTAAACTGTTGAGGTTTCTAGCAAACAGATTAAAGATTGCATCTTTACCTGGTTTGTTTCTTAGGGCCTTGACCCTCTCCTGATCCATTTGAGGAGAGCTCATTACCAGTCTGTCCTTGCAAAGGTTCTTTTCTGGGGCCCTCAGTTTGCTTCTGTAGTTTACTCTGCTTTTCAGACTTGTTCTCTTTCTCTTTCTTCTTCTTGTCTTTGTCATCAGTGCCACTAGTAGAAACTGGTTTATAGTCAACTCCTGCAACAGACTTATACTGGGCCTTCAACTGAAGAAGTTCCTTAACAGCTGCATCTATCTTTTCCTTGAAGAACAAAAAAATAAAGATAAATTCATACAGAAATCCCAGGAATAAAATGGCTCTATCAAAAAACCAAAATGGATCTATGTATAACATTGTGGACATCCACACAGTGTTGGGGGAAAAATCTGCAAAAACCAATACTTTATTTAACGGCGCTACCATTTTAAGGACCATATCTGTCAGGAATAATTTTAAAAGTACATTTCAGATCTCAGAATTCAAATGCTGCCTACTCTAAATGTACATTTCTAATTCTCATAATCACACTTAATTTAAAATAGATTTTTAGTTTAAAATACATACATTACATTTTCTATCACGGTATGCTTTTACCTTTTCTGCTTTTTCTGATTTCAACTTCCTAACTTCATCTCCTTGAAGAGCTACTTTGCTAAACAGGGCTTTAGCTTCGGGTGTGTCTGGACCACTGGGTACCGTGTTTGATGTTTGGGGCGAAGAACCAGCTACTGGTGGCTGTCCTGGCTTGTAGTCCTGGCCAGTCTTTTCCTTGTAGTCAGCTTTTAGAGAAAGAAGGAGTTTTACTGCTTCATCTATTTCATCCTATATGGAGGACAAATAGCAAGATGTACTAGTGAGAATTAAAGACAGAACTGACAAGAAGCATTGATTTTCAGGCTAAGAAAATAAAGTTTCCATCTACCAATAAACAGTGCTTCATAATTAAGAGCAGGAATCAAGTAATAGCTCTCCTCCAAGCAACAGGAGGAGTAAGTTTGAGAGCTGTCACACTGTACCAGAATGTTCCCCTAACCCACCTGGCCAGCTACAACCTGTTAACAACTGCAGCAGAATCTACACTGAAAAACACAAACTATTTTAGAAAAGGTTTAAAAAAAAAAAACCAAAAAAACCCACAACACAACAAATAAAAAAAAAATCCCACCAAACACCAAAAACAATTCTGCAAGTGGAAAGAAATAAGCAGCTCCTGACAACTGATAGGTTTGTCCCACGTTCTTTTCCACAACTATCATTGACTTGGTGAAGTTTTGAAAAGCCTTGCTATTGCTGTAGCACACTACATATTTTTACCTTTATTTTTCCCAAATACAGCAAGAGAAAGTAAAATACATTAAAAACTTCTGCAAAACTTCTTTGACATCTGCCATGCTTGTGCTTACTCATCTAGCTGTGAGAGCTAAGTTTGTCTTTTTACACCAGTCAAACTTAGAATTTGTATCTCAGAGTCAGGAAAGTATTCAGCATGAGAGCAAGCCTGTGTGGCATTATTAGACCATGAAAGTTTGATGGCTAAGCTGTGACCCAGACATACAGGAGTTTAGTATATTGTTTGATCATTTCTTGGTGAAAGATTTCCCCCCAGTGGCAAAATGTGGTAAGAATTGCAACTGCTTACTCTCTATTTACTATTATACCTTGGAAGCTTTCTCTGCTTTGAGTCTGCGTACCACTTCCCCTTGTTCAGCTACATTATCGTAAAGTGCTTTGCCATCCACTAAACTACAAGGTGCCAAGTTACTGCAGCATACAGAAGATGGAAGTGTAGTAGAAGGTATACAAGGAGGAGCTGAAGGTGGATTTCCAGGCTTGTACTCTTGGCCTGTCTTTTGCTTATATTCTGCTTTTAGATTTAAAAGAATTTTCACAGCCTCATCTACTTGTTCCTGAAGAAAGAAAGGAAAGAAAACAGTTGCAGATAAAGACCGAAACAACAGAGACGCAACACAATAGCTAAGCTAACATAACCTTTACTAGAATGGCACTAACACAGCTGTTATAACTAAAACTTCTACAGCTAACTTGCAAGTTGTCAATACTGAGTCCAGTGGTAAAACTTTTTAGCTACAATACCTACAAGTTGCACAAAGGACCTAATCAGGCAGTATATGTAAGGGCTGATTTCTATGCCATGAAAGCTACCCATTTAGGTGGCTTAGCTCCCTGCAGTTACAGCAGTCTGTGACTTTGTACACTGGAGCACAGGAGCAAATACTCAGACTCTGAATATAGAATGGTTCCCTGGCTACTATCAAATTACTACTAAATTTATTATTGCTATTCTAGCTTTCAAGTTACAGCCCTTTTCAAGCTACTGCTTGTATTCTGCTTCACTTATCTTGTATCACTAAAAAAAGAACTTGCTTATTTCTCTTCCAGGTTCTCCATGCACTATCACAGAACTCATGAAGTCAGCCATATCGGTTTAAGAGAATTTGGGAAAGCACTTAATGGAATTTGAAAGTATTTGTTTATATTTTGTTCTTCAAGTTTCACAAAACCTGCAATTAGGTTTTAGCCTAAACTGAAAATGTTGTTCCATTCAGAAGTATTCACTGCTATTACACCTTTGAAGCTTTCTCCGATTTAAGTTTGCGGACCACATCGCCTTGTTCAGCTACTTTGTTGTACAGAGATTTGCTGTCTACTGGACATGGGGATGGAAGAGTAGAAACAGGAGAAGACTGAGGAGGGACAGAGACCACAGGTGGGCTTCTGGGTTTGTACTCCTGGCCTGTCTGTTGTTTGTATTCTGCCTTTAGGGATAAAAGGACTTCCACAGCAGCACCTATCTCATCCTGAAAGAGAAAGGAAGGGGCAGAAAGAGGGAGGAACAAAGACATAGACACATAAGACTCTGAAGTGCATCTTAAATATGTTTATGAAAAGACCTGCAGTTTGTGTGCACCTGTTCTATTTTCTTAACTATTTAGTAAAGTTGTTCAGAGAAGTTTTCTCTAGTAGTTTCCTACTTCAACCAAGTGACTCCTGTTAAGGGATCCACGACTCTAATAGTCCTAAATAGAATTATAACAATACATTTGTTTAGATCTTCTCATTCACTTAGATTTTATGGTGTCACCAAGACAGTATTATGAACAGTATTCAACCACCAGGCAAAGTGTGTTATTTCCCATCTTTTCTTGCTCTGCATTAGAAAGAATGGAAAGAACACAGCTACTAGTAGCTATGTTTTCTATGCTCAGATCCAGACAGGAAGATGTCTCAAAAATATCTGTAGTATTTGGATCTTTACTTTCTTTTTTCCTCTCTGCATTTTGTTTTTGTCTTGTTTTGTTTTTAAGGTCGAAATAGCAACAAGTCAATCTATGAAGTCACATAATTTGACTATACTTAGTTAACTAACTAACTAAATAAATAAATACTGCAGTACATTTTAACCCCAAGGACCAGATTTGAATACTAAATCAACTCATGCTGTGGGGTGAATCCTGTACACATTTCAGAACAGCAGTCTAAAAAAATATAGGAATTTACTTGCACCTTTACGAAGATTAACACAAACTTTGTCATACATATCTGGCTAAAAGGTAAGTATTGGAAAACACAGGTGTTGACAGAACAGAGCTCAGTTCAAATGATGATCGCTATGAAAATACAGAACTCGTAAGCACCCATTCACCTCCACAGAGGAAAATGCACTATGCAAACCCAAATTTAAAAAAAACCAGTTTAGTCAGCCACCTTAGGTGCTTTCTCAGCTTTCAGTTTTCGGACCACTTCTCCTTGGTCTGCCACTTTATCATACAGAGCTTTACTGTCCAGAGTACCAGAGGTCTCAAGCTTTGAAGACTGTTCAGTCACAGATACTGGAGGATTTCCAGGCTTATACTCCTGGCCTGTCTTCTCTTTGTATTCCGCTTTCAAGGCCAGCAATTGTTTCACAGCTTTATCAATATCTTCCTTTGATGCCTTCTTAGCTTTCAAGTCACGAACTATATCACCCTGTGCAGACACTCTGTTGTAAATGACCAGGTGATCTTCAGATACAGTACAGGTTGGAGTAGAGTTATCACCAACAAGTGGAGCAGATTTTCCTTTTACAGCTGAACTAGCCTTAAACAAAAAAAAAGCCAAGTATTCAGCACGATAATCTTGTACAGTAATAGATGTACAGTAATACATTTTATGGCACTTTTCTAAAACACTTTACCTCTTTCTTTGCAGTTTCAGCTTTAGCCTTTTCTTTTGACCCAGATGTTGGCATTTCCTTAGTGTGTCCATCAGGAATGTAAATCAAAATGCACGGGGCATCTCTACAGCTGTAAGGACTATAAAATGTTTTATAGAAAACATGATAATGAAGATAATACAAGATATATTTGAAATGTTTATTGAAACAAATATTCTACTCCTTCCACAAGATGCTCTGGCACAACTGCAAGTTTATCTTTGTACGCAACTGTAGTTGCCCAAATTGACATAGTTGGGGATCTGCATTGATTTCTTTTATGCACAAGTTTTCTTGATGTTATAATATTATGCTGAAATACAGTATAATTTAGATGTTTGGTAGCCTGCTAAAGAACTGTTACAATTCAATAGTATGTGCACACTCTAGTTGGACAAATGCCTGTTTTATTCCATACCATTGTTCCTTGATTTATATACTTAGGATCACAAGGAAACCATGATCTCTTTACTAAGTCCAGGTTAGTCGGGGTGGACCAAAAGCGCCATGTGCTTGGCTTAACACAGTTTGAAAAGACAGGAACGTACAACCTAAAGGCCATGCCAGTCCATAAAAATAGTCCATAGAAAGGCAACGGTAAAGGGGAAAAGATTTGCAGGCAACATTACTCTTGCTAATGCATGTGTGTAGAATATTTAAACACAGCTTTCTCAGGTAGCTTACCTCACTGGCTCATAGGGTTGATCACAAATAAAGAATCCTCTCCTCTGAAGTTGTATGATGTCCCCTTTTTTTAAGTCCCTAAGGCAAGGATCACCTAACATCAGTTCTTCTTGCTGCAAGTGTTAAAGGAAATCAGTCCAAATCTAACAGAACACATTAAATAGTAAGAAATACAGTAGAGCTGTAGAAGGACAGTGGTGATTTTCTGATTTTGGATGTGTTGAAATTTTAGTTAATTCCAGGGGCAGCAGAACAAGTACTCACAAGAATGTATCAAGACAAAAACTCAAACTATTGGTCACAAATGTGTAAAAGCCAGGTATTGCCTGAGAAAAAAATATAAGTCAAATTTTAATTTTGAAATTATGAGAGATTAAATGGAAAACATGGAAACATTTGTCATCTTGACAAATAAAGTCTTTATATTAAAAAAAGAGTGACTAGAAACAGTGATGGCAAAAAAAAACCCTCAAACTTGAAGCTTTGTGGAATAAAGGGGACATGAAGACAACTTACCTTGCTATTTCGGTTGATATATTGCTTGAAATCTTCATCTTTACCTAGAACTGGCTTAGTGATCAGATGTTCATAATTAACACAGACAGTTGGGATGAGTGGTGCACGTGGAGTTTCTGCTAACCAAGTGATCTTAGTTGTTTTTTTGAAGTCCTTATTCTCTAAGTTCAACTTGGCATCAATGGACACAATTTTTCCACTTGAATTTCTACAAGAAAACAGAAACGGTAAGAGGAAAGCCTAAATGATTAGTTGTAATTTGATACCACAGACCATCAATAGATTCACTGAAAAACAAGTGTTCAGAGTTAATCTGTGAAGTGTAGGAGACGTAGGAAATGGAAGAGTGTATCCAGTCCTGTTGAAGTTCTCCTTCAATTTTGATTTCTTAAATATCAAGAGATAATAAAGACCATGGGAAAAAAAAATCTACATATTTGTTTTACATTCTCTATCCCAGCTTACTCCATTCTGCCACTGTCTCAACACAACCATTTCAAAGATACTATGATGACACTGACAGCTTCCTTCCCTACCTCAGCAGTTCTGCACCTGAAAGTGCAGTAGGTTTAGGTTTTCAGGATGCAAAAGCAGGTATTCATTACAGGGTGAAAGCTGTTAAAATTCCAGGTGGGATTTTTTTTGTCTGAAAAAGGTATTTCACAATAAAAATATTACCAGAGAAACATGGAGAATGCTGGATAAGAGGGACATGCAGTGTCAAGACTGGTGATCTCAGACCTGTAATATACGCTCTATGCTAATACGTAGTTTTGTGGCTTATTTCAAAGTAGATAACCAAATACAAAATCACAGAATGGACATATATGGCCAACAATTAATATTTTAGTGTTATAAGCTACCTATTAAAAAAAAATCCTGAAAAGCAAAAAGTAATTTCATCTCCCAGTAAGCAGGTTACCTGTTTAATTTGGTGATGATGATATTGCCCCAATTTATGAATGTAACCACCTCTCCTTCTGCCAGGGTCTCTGCATCCGCGCCCTCAATCAGGACTCTGAAGCCATACCACACAGGTTTCAACCCAACATCAGCATTCTGTGAATAATTCAAAGGAGAGACCTATTATATAAGCAGACTGAATTTAATGCAGTGCCAAAACACCACTTTATTTATCATAGAGGATAGATGAAAGACAGAAGACCGACAATAACAGTAACACAAAGCTACAGTATTCTTCCACAGCTCTCTCAGGTTTCTGGTTCACAAGTGCTGCATGTATTCCTCTGACAGTACACTCAAACAATCCTATCTCCTATCAAATACTAGCTCCAACACAACAGATTGCATACCACTTTTCCTTAAGGTTCATACATCTTTAAGATCCTACAGGCAAAACTAAGTAAGTTTTTCTCAAGTTTCCATTTTGCTATGAAAATTCCCTTCAAAAATAATTTCAGATGTCTAATTTTTGCTTTTTTATATAGTTAATATGGAAACAAATACAGAATTCTGTCAACTGCACAGATTTTTAAAGACAGAAATTGGAAATACATCGTTTGTAACACTAAAAATACTCAGCTTTAAAGCATCTCAATAATGGAAAAAAACTCTAAAAAAAAAAAAGACAGACAGCTAGGAGTTCAGACTTTTTCTACCGACCAGGAGTTTGAAATTTGTTTCTTCTGGTCGGTACTTTGTTACACACTGAAGGCAGCATTTTTAATATCTATGCTTCAATATGCTGGCTTGCATCTGACCAAACTTCAGACTTTTTGACTCTGAAAGAGTCACAATTCTCACTTGCATCTGCTCAAAACCTGTTTCCTTGTTTATCTGCCATGAGGAAAAAGGGAAAACTAAATGTCCACCTCTCAGTTACAAGAGATGGCTACAGGAACACACACAGCAACAAAATTTAAAAAAAAATGACGCAAAACCTCAACAATATTCGCTTGTTTCTCAGTGTAAGTGCGATATTGAAGGGACGTGTTCAGTGAAGTTTAAGTACAATTTGAGATGCCATGCTCAATGGAAAGCATCTTTCCTAACTGTAGTGCCAAAGAAGAATTGTATCAGTAAGACATCTCCCCTCTTAAGGGATATTACTCTGCTTACTGGAGACTAAGAGTATCAAATTAGCAAATCCTTAACTTTTGATAATAATTATTTCCTATCTGAATTTAAAAGTCATATTAAAAAATCCAGAGATTGGTAAAATTAACAGGTTAATATAACACTTCTCTACATAAGTCTAATTTTATAAACTATTTTAAAAAAATCTCCTGCATTCTGCACTCTGATAGATAAGCAGTATCTACTGTATTATACTCCTAAACCTTGAATAAAATTCAGTATTTAAGCTTCTCTGTGAAATTTAGTATCAAATAATAATAAAACCAGTCTGAGCATCACTCCATACTTGTAACATCTCACCTCTTCTGGAAAGTCCCAGAGAGGACTTTCAATGCACTGTCTGTATGCACTCTTCATATTTACAAAAGCAGTTTCCTACATCCTCTTAACAGAACAAACACATTCAGTAGTTGCTCACTTTTTCACAACTCTATGAAAAAAAGTACACCTTGGTTTTATCTCATGGTGCCTGAGTAAGTTAAAAGCAGGACTCTCCTTGCTGACTGCTCCAAGCCAACGTACTTCCAACCTTACTGATCTGCAATACAAGAATATTAAGAGAGTAAAGCAAGAACCTTTGGATGTTTAGCCACTTCTTTCATCTCCTCTTGAGCTTCAGGAATATTTACTGGGACCACTGCATCTTTCAGTAAAGCAGTGTACCGAGGTGCTACTGGGTCTATAACCTACAGAAAACAAATGAGGCGGATCATGAATATATGACATTCACAGAGAAATAAAGATGTTGTATAGAACAATGACCACCAAAAAGGATTATTAACTGGTATTCTTTATGTTACTGCTTTTTTTTTATGTTTGCTTTAATGTTAATTTGATCCAAAGCTATAGAAAAGTGAGAAGACAGTGGTAGTATTTCACAGTTTCCCATCTTTACTGAAATACTTTGAGTAAAAACTATGGATTGGGTACTACTGACACCAGAAGTAACCAAAATTATGAGCTAATGTCTCATAAGGAAGACAGCAAAATGTACTTTGATATAGTTTTACTACACACACAAGCTATTATATCTGGACCGCTTTCTCTCTAGGTAGCTGAATTCAAAGTAATAATTTTCGGTACAGTTTGTTCTTTTTTCCAGCAGAACAAGACCTGATCCCATACTCATTTTCCAGGTCAGTACACCAGCAGAATCAGGGACAGACCCCGGCTACACAGGAAGAACCAATTAAGTCTGCAATTTTAATACAGACGCATTAGATACTATAATAAGGCAACAGCATGACATTGACTTCATCAGGATTTCTAAAACATGAGTTTGGCAAGAAAAAGATACCACTAAAATCTGTATCCCTGTATTTTTAATGTCCATTTTCAAACTCAACTGACGTAGTTTTTCACAGCATTTTTCATATCTAAAATACTGGTATGTCAAACTGTTCAGAGGCATTTAAAAACATAATTCAAGTAAACCAGTTTCCTAGGTCTAAAAGGAATATCAGAGATCTTCAAGTTTAACTGGAAACTAACACAAAGGAAAACACCTGTTTTTATTAATATAAAGTGACTTACTCCTGCTCACGTAAAAAACTACATGGCAATTTTAGAAAAAAATATTTAGCATCTAAGTACTTGACATTAGCAAGTAAGGCGTTATGATGATATACTTCTAAGTTGTCACACATTTGTAAGTTCATAGTCAGTGAAGTCAGACTCCTAAATGTTGGACATACACTTTACAAAAGGACTTGCGTACATATCTCAAAATCTAGGTTTATCATGTGATTTAATACCACAATTTTTATAACTGACTGAATTTTACCATGTTATTACCAGAGTCTTTATTTTACTCATTAAAACTCACAATCCTTCCTCAGATACAGGCGTTAAAGTCAGTAGCATAATTAGAGGATAGCTTATAAAATAAGAGCTCTCACACTGATGAAATCTTTGAGCTCAGAACTACCCGCATACAACTGTTTTTCCGCATACTGCAAACTACCTGCACAGATACAATTGGCTAATAAATATGGTGCTGTCCAAGGAGATGAGGAAAAGGTCTAAGAAGCTCAGTTTAAAAGCCAATTCAAAAAATGAGCCCTGACAGTCCACTGTGGATTTTTCCCCAAAATCCAATTCTTAGTAATAAATATATTTATGCAGCAACAGAAAGAACCAGTTCATAAAACCTTTGTGTATGTAGCAGACCAAATGCAAAATATATGAAGAAATAAAAGACACATGCCAGACAAGCAAAGACTACTGAAATGAACAGATCCAGGTACTACCTAAGCAAAACCAAGCAGGAATCCCAATGCAAAATAACAGGTGTTTCCACAATCGCACAAAATATGCAATCAGCATTAAAACAATTCGCCTTATTATAGTGTCCAAGCATCCGCTGCCAGAAAGCACCTAACCATGTCAAGATGCAATATTCCTTCTTTGACATTCAGTCAGAAACATCAGCAGTGCTGGCTTTATCTATCACAGGCAGGTATACGCAGCACATTAGTCCGTTTGACACAGAAAGGAAAGGCGGCCAAAGTAAATCAAATTGAATAAGATTTGTGCTTATGTTAACAAATAAGCCAAGCCAGAAACGGACAGCCTTTCAAAACTAGGAATAATGCATTTTTAGTGGGTTTGTAGAGCTCCTGTTATATAAGCAAATGTGACTGTGCTATGAAGCTGCAAAATGATAGCTTATGCTATGTATGCTTACAGCACTGTAAGCTATATGCTAAGGTAAAAAGCATTAAGTAATACCTTCTTACAGATAGCTCGCAGCTTGAAAGCAGAAAAATGAAATGCAGTTTTCATAACAGATTTTACAGCAAATATAATTCTCTTTCCCCATACTACTAAGTAAGACAGTATTGGTATAGGAGAATCGATAGGATTAGTGCTAGACTGGGTTAGAAGGGGGGGGGGAAACATTCCATTTTCCTGAAAGTGTGCCAAATGATGCAAGATATTGCAACTGCTACTTGTGATAAGCACTCCCATGAACACTGGATTCTCTACATATCCCAGAAACAGGACGTCAGGAGTAGCATCAAATTCAAGTAAGCACACACCTTTTTGTTAAAAGACCAAATTTTATCCCACTCCATATTCACGACAGATCGAGAGGAGCCCTGGAAAAAACCCAAACACATTAATATAAA